TTTTAGTTCCTCATATTGAGATTATTACTTCTATTATTCAAAGGTTGATTTCAGATTTAATTACTAAATTTCTTAATTTTAGTTTTTGATTTAGGTTTCCAATTATTGTTTTATTTTAATCTCTTCATTATGTTTTTGTTTTAGTTCATCATATTAAGTTTATTAATTCTTTTATTCTTTAATTAAAATTTCCTCTTATTTCTTTAGTTGATTGCAGACATTTAAAGCAGACTTGGTGACTTTTTGACTTAGCTCGTTACTAAATTGTTCATTATACACTTCTGGCCAACAGGGCTTATTAAATTTATAAATGGTTGGTTCTTTAGATTACAAAGGATATATTGTTTTAAAACAATCCTAGATATCATCAATCGAATCCTCAATTCTATTAAATGAAGACTAAATAAAATAAGTAGGATACTTTAATCTTTAAGCGCATAGCCTAAGTAGATTCCTCCATTATGAATGATGATTAATAAATATATTAAAAACAAATTATAAAAGAATGTATTTCTATTAAAAACAGAGTTAATTAAATACTTATGAGTTATTATAAAGTAACCTTTTGTAATTTAATTTTCTTTACACTGATAAGATTAACGATAAGGTTTCCAATTTCTAACTCAGTACTACAAATTTTGGAGACTATCAATCTGATTTAAGAAAAATACTTTTCAAATTTATTTATTGAAATTGGTAAATCAATGAATTTAAAAACTTGATTGTCAAAGCATTATTTAAAACTTTTATATGGATGCAGAATAACATAACAGTAAATGACTAATATTAAATAGATATACAAGGTTTCTTCTCCTAAAAATTCAGAAAAAGTACATAAAATTATTTCAAAGTTTGAAATATAAATGAAATGAAATGTTAATGAATTTTTTCATCATTTAGGGTACACAAGTATCTTCTTTGAAATAATGATGGCTCTATAATCTTATTAGAAACTAAGATCAACCACTTTATTATACTTATAAAAATAAACTAACATTAGTTTAAAATTTAAACAGTTCCAGTAACGGGAATGAAGTTGTATTTTATTTTTGAATAACTTTATATACCTTTAATATCATCTGTAAATCTCAGGAAAATGTTGATTTGTAAATTGAAACAAAATTGGTTTTTAAATTCTCCTTTAAAATTCAAACCCTTTATGCTTAACTTAGAATCCAAATATCCACCTTTCTAACTTCAAAAGATAAAAAAAATAATGACAACAAATTTTTAATATGTTAGGGTATTAAATTGATGAACTTGCTTGTATTTATATTATAAATTCCATATCAAATGGAGATTTGTATTATGTGATCAGACCTAAGATCTGAGGCTTCTAAGTCTATATGGCTATCAATATTATGAATTCAATTTAGGATTTAAGTATTTAATATATAATTATTTATTTTTATTGTTACAAAAGTTCCTTGATTCCAAAAAAAGAAATACCTATATTGAATAATTGATATTCAAATTTCAAAATCATTAATTTTTGCATATCTTAATAGAATTATCATAGAAGTCTTACTTAAAATATCGAAAATTAAATTTATTAATTAATTTGAAGAATTCAAAGAGAAAATTATAAAAGCAATTTATAATTTTGAACAACATTGTGTATTTTAGAATGATAAATATAAGATAGATTCTGAAGCATCAAAAGATGGATTTATAAATATTAATATATACGATTAATTTTGTAATTTTTAGTAAAGATGGGAGGATCAAAGAGTTAAGAAGAATCAAACTTAGTAGTAAGATTTAAAATATAACTATTAAAACGCCGAAAAGTTTATTTGTCAGATAATAGTGGCCATTCTCAGTAAACAGCGTAAAAATTACTTCCTCAAACTGCTCCAACATTATTGTAAATTTAATAACAAAGAAAGAATTAGGAAATAAGATTGAAACCAATAGAAACTAATAAGAAAAAGAAGATGAAGATAATATTCATATCTACAATTAAATTTTCAATACTTAAACCTAAGGAAGATTTTCAAATAAATTACCATCTAAGCATTCTTAATGCTGAACAGTTGCAAATATTAATGATAATGGAGATGTTGGATGTGAAAATGGATGTCCTTCTTATTCAATCGATAAAGTCTGTTATATATACTAACCTTTCTTAATCATTATGTTCAAAATTTCGCCTTCTTTTTCTGATCTAATTTGTGTTTTATGGCAGATGAACTTGTGAAATTTTCCTAGTTCACATTTTTCCATTATCTTTATCTTCTCTTTGAAATCTTCATCCCATTCCTGGTTTTTGGGCTTCATATAAATAATAGTTTAAACATAATTTACCTTAATAATTAAATCAATCTTGCAAGGTTAACATAGGAAAGTTTCTTTTCCTGTAAATTGAATAGAAGTATTTCATTTGCTATGAGGATCATCAGTCCTTGTGATTGATTCTCAGTTGGAATGCTGATATTTTTGAAGTATCAAGTAATAAATCATAAAATTTGGTTTTAACATATTCTTTGATCTTTATATTAGAGAACTTTAACTCTTTAAGCATCTTAAATTAATCATTTCTCGTTTTATATTATATTTTCCAATATCTGACTTTTATTCATAAATTTAAGCTGACTCTCTTTTGTTACTCCAAAAATCCTTTTACAGCTAACCTTTTCCTTAATTCAAATCCGAAATATCTTTCTAAAATGTTTGATTTCTATTTAATAAAAAAGTTTTAAAATCATATTTTTTGGATATGATCTGGTGATAAGCTAAAAGTACTTTACCAGCCCACTAAGTTACTAGAAAAATACTTAGAAGAGGCTTCTATAATTTTCCTCTTGATTAATTATTTTCTCAAAGAGACCACTCCTGAATTTAATACTATTTTTGAAACAAAGTAATTTAATTCATAATCTTCAGTTCCTTTTTCCAAGAATTTATTCCTGATCCTAATTTTATCATGGATAGCCTTAATATTTTTAAGTAACTACTTTTGCCAACATTCTGATAGTAATATTTAAATTTTATATTTTTTTACCTTGTCAATAGATAATCTTAAAAAATTTTAAATCTATATGATTGCAAATTCTTTAACTTTAATAGTGAGTATCTTTTAACTTAGGCTTTAAGGAATATATTTATTTTTATACAATCAAATTTTTCTACCAAACCTTAAATTTACCCGTAATACAAGGGCATTAATAAAAATCCATGTTAAGTAAGATGTTGATTGAAAGAATTTAGGCAAATTAGTTAGTCTTTTTATGTAAATTTATGAGAAATAAAATAATAAATTTAAGTGTTTCTTAAAATTTGAAATTCATTTCTGTCAAATAAAAAGTTTAGGAAGTGATATAATGANTCTTGGGTTTTTGCCTTTGTGTTCCAATTTGAGATAAGAGTGAGGCTTAAATGGAATTAAGAATTATTTTAAATACACTATAAATTGCTTCAATTTTTTGTATTTATGGGAGCACTTCGAAGCTTGATATAATATTAATATATTTTTTTTATATACTCATAGACTACTTTTCAATAATATCTCTTTTTATATAATCCTTTAGATATTTGATCATGTTATCTAATTAATTGTCTATCAATATTATTTCCAGATTCTTTGCAGAAATTGTTTAAAAATTTCTATATATATTGAGGAGGTTTAGTTGATGCAGATTAAAGATCTCAAAGAAGAGACACCTTTAGACTGATCTGATTTAACTCTTACGTCATTATATTGGTAAATTATTTAAGCGATTTTAAGTAGGCTTAGTCAGATTATGGACAACTTTCAGTTTGAACGCTACAGAGAAGTTGACTAATTATATGCATTTCCAATTATTTCCGTTTAACCACTATCAACTTTATAAAGGAAAGGTATTTAAGATTCTTATTTAATGAAGTCTCCATCTTCATAATAAAGTTGGCTTCTTCAAAACAAAACCAGAGCAGTCATTATTATTTACACCACTCAAACACTAAGGTTTGAATAAAATTATAATAAGCTAATTAAAACTAGACAATTAATTTCACAATTCTATATTTAATGTATTCTCTGCCAAAGGATATGGATAGTATCATATATCAAACATCAGCAAAGCAGTATAAATGAAAATATCGTTTTCTTTTTCCGATGTTCTCCTTCCTCTCTTTCAATGGATTGATGAAACCAAAAATCCTAATATTTATATTTGGAGTTCAGTGATCAAACTTAGTTTTATTTTCTCCTCCAATAGGCTCTTTAAAGCTACTAGAACTCTATAATGAACCCTTAAATAACTAAAAATTGAAAGTAAATTAGTTAAGATTCAATCAAAGGATATTACAAATTCTTTATATTTAAAATTTCAAAAAAAAAGTATTATAAACACTT